CAACAGCAGCTGGATCAATCGGGCAATTTGATGGAAAATGAGCAATATTTTTCAACAAATGGTGCTAAAATCAATCTGATAACCATATAAAAAAGAAAGAAAAATATATTATTCCTGCCTAACAAATTACTCCAAACTAGAAGCCGTCTCCTTCTTTTTTCTTTGCTTCTGGTCTCTTTCTAGAAACATATTCTGGTCTCCCTTTAGGTCTTTCCTTCATTGACAAAGCCCCATGGGTTATTATTAAATTCCCATTAAACTTTGTTTAACCTCCTATGTATCCAGGCACATTTTCTCCCTTCTATGGTTTGGATATGGTTTGTTCTCACAAAGGCTCATGTGTTGGAAGCCTGGTCCACAAGTGTTGGTCCCATGTCCAGTGTGGCAATGTTGAGAGGAGGTGAGATCTTTAAGAGGTGGGGCCTAGTAGAAGGTGGTTAGGTCATTAAGGGTGCCACCTGTGGAAAGGATTAATGTATTCCTATAGGGCCCTGCAAGAACAGGTTGTTAGAGCAAGCCTGGCTCCTGCATCACTCTGGCTTCTGTCTCACCACGTGATCTCTCCTTCTCACACTTGTTCCCACCAGGTTGAGAGATAGCCAGAACAGTGTCCACTAGAGGCCAAACAGAGGGTGCAGCTGATCTTGGATTTTCAACCTTCAAAACTGTGAACTAAACAAACTTCCTTATAAAGTACATCAGTTACAGCAACAGAAAATGGACTAGGAGTTCCCCTATTTTCCTTCTGCACAATCTCATTCGCTAGTACTCATTAGGTCTCTAATTAATGTGTTCTATAAGAGGGAATCCCACAGGTCTGCAAACATTCATGGTACAGTACCTTCTTCCCATTAGTGCCTGCTAATAATAGTAGGTATCAATTATTGGCTTGTCTTTGATGCAGTGTTGGGAATTTTACCCAGGCTCTTCTGTGATAGCTTGGTAAGTGTATGTGGGGATGCAATTCCATTACCTCTGAGGTAAAGCTATGGAGTGGGACATAGAGTTTCAGAGAGCTATAATGACCTGACCAAGTGGGTATTGCAATTTAATGGCAGACAGGGACCAACTTCAGGCTTCCCCACTGTGTTGTGAAATCAGATAGGCTTGGGTATTTGAGGACAATTTTCACATGTCTTTGAATTTCAGTTTTCTCACCCCCCAAAAATGGTGGTGATAACGTCTTCCCAAGCAGGATGCTGTGAAAACACAGTATGCACCTACCTTGTCCCACTCAGTAATGTCTGGCCACCTTTGCTTCCCTTAGCCAGGGATCTTTCTGGAATACTTTTAATTTGTCAACTTTTCCATGATTATCAGGGCTTGGAATGGATTCCCTTCAAATGACTAAGGTGTCCTTTATGGGAAGCTGTCCCCAAGCAGCTTACATCACTGGAGAAACAAAAAAAACAAACACAAAGACTAGTCATTCAGTGTAGGGTTGAAAAAAGGACAAGAAATAAGTAGGATTTGGAGACAGGAGAGACCAGAAGGAGCTGTGCTGATTGGAAGAGATTTTGGAAAGGACACGAGTCTGGAGGCACATGTGTCTATCTTCCAGCATCTAGCATGCACTCATTGAACTGAAATGAACTTCTGAGTCTGAAGCCAGAATTAGACAAGCAGTCAGTATAGATAGGTAAATGAAGTCAGTTCGGATCAAGGAGGCCAATTTTGCGTGAGTCTGGCAAGTTGGAGACTGTCCCATAAGGGACTGAAATGTTAATTCCTTCAGAGCCCTCCCTCCACCCTTATCAAGAACCTCCCCCTGCTCCAACTTGTTGCTAAGGTAACCTGTCCCACGAATTGCCCCTCCCTATAGGAAGCTATAAGATTGTTAATTAATGCTCCATCCTTCCTCTCTCTTCAGCCCACCTGCTTTCTTTTGGCCATCCCACCAGCATTTTCTAGGCCTAGTCAAATGCCTAGTTACATAGCTGGAAGGAGAAAGATAAGGGGAGGAGGGCCGGAGAACAAAGGAAGCCTAGGACATATAAAAAGGGCAGAATACCTTGCTTCTTGGGATACCAGGATACCAGCTATGGCTCCCTCTCCCTCATGGGAGAAGTCTATGTTACCCCTTTCTAAATAAGCCCTGCGTTATATGCTTGCCTGAGTGTGCTTCTCTAATGTTCAAACTTCAACATGTGAGGAAGCAGGACTCGTCACCGATAACCAGAATCAAGTCAAGGAGTCAAGAGGAGCTCTATGGTCCAGTGTCACCTCAGCCAGAAGAGGAGTGAATCCTACCCTTCCTGTCACCCTTATCCTTACTCTGAAGACCACACTTGAGAGCCTGGAGCAGGCAGATGGTATCCACTGGGGAATAAGGGGGGGTACCCAGAGTACACACATGGACCAGCTCAGGGGTCAACCTTGGTTAGTGCACCCTAAATAGGTGGACCATGTCACACATCTCCCAATTCCAAACACTCCCCAAAATGTTAGTCTTAGCTCTCAAAGTGGCCCTGGGAATTGGCCTCTGAGTGTCCTCCGAGAGTCAAACCCTTTTCTGTCTCCATGATTGGCTCTCAACTCTGGCATACTATTCAGTAGGCCTTCTCTGCTTTCTGGATCCTGGGGGACACTAGTTCCTCTGAGCCCATCCTGTTTCGTGTCAGATGTCTAGGCATTCTCTGGGCCCTGGGGATTCCTTCAGCAATACAGCTCACACCTGCACATTCCTGAGCTCAGGTATCCAAAGGCAATATCCTGAAGGAAATTTTTTCATTGCCTATTTGGGTGATAAATCTGCCCAAATAAAACCATTTTTAATCTACCTACTTCGTTTCTCATTCCTAATGTTGGCAAACAGGTCAGGAAATCACATGCTCATCCTGTGGGTGAGAGTTTTAATGGACACAAATTTTCATAGGACACATGGGACTTTGTGCAACAAAGGACTTAAAGCTTGCATACCTTTTGGTCTGCCAATTCCTCTTCTAAGATTTTATCCTGAGGGAAAAAAATTTAGGAGAGTGTACAAAGACATGTATACAAGATGGTTCATCAGAAGGGAATCCATTCCAAACCCTGATAATCATGCTCAAAAAAAGTAAAGACAATCTCCCAAGTTCCAACATTAGGGGATAGGTTGATTAAATCATGGCACATCAATAAAATGGAATCCAAGTAACTATATAAAAAAAAAATGGTATAGCTAGGCCTGGTGGTGCATGCCTGTAATCCCAGCAGCTCAAGAGGCTGAGGCAGGAAGATTGCAAGTTGCAAGCCAGCCTCAGCAAACTTGTGAGGCTTTAAGCAACTTAATGAGACCCTGTCTCAAAATCAAAAGGACTGGGGCTGTAGCTCAAGGGTTAAGGGTCTCTGGGTTCAATCCCCAGTACCAAACACACACACGCACACACACACACACACTAGTGTAGATTATATGTGTTTATACATATAAAAATGATAATAATAAAAAGAAATTGTTATGAGAATATGTAATGATGATAGATAGAATTGAAGAAGCACTTACTTGTGCTAAGCACTATTGCAAGAACTGTATGAGGATTAACTCATTTGTTCTCTGCATCAACTCCATTAGGAAGAAACTGTCACTATTCCCATTTTACAGGGGCTCAGTTAGTTCTATAACTTATAATGAACACACTAGTCAATGAGCTGAGGCAGTTAGACTCTTAAAAGCCACATGATTCTGCTTCTCAGTAGAGGGCTGAAGTTATTTTTTAAATAATAATAATAATAATAAGTAGTATATATGTGTGTGTTTAAGAAAGTCTGGAAGGCCTAGAGTGAAAATACTAATTTGAAGCATTATTATAAAAGGCTATTTTTAAAAATCCTATTATATATGCTGCTATTCTTTCAGAGAGATAAATTTACTCTGTAATTTTAGAGTTCACTCCCTCAGTTCTACCATACACTCATGTTCATGAAGTGGATGGATGTCACTCTTTCATATTGAGGGTTAGCATTATTGGCATTATTGGATCTAAAAGGATTCTCAGTTTCTTCCAGTTTCAGTCTGCACAATGTTTAGAATTCTCCACATGTTGAAGGTATATTTAAAATACAAAGACTCCCACTACAGAATGATTCCTGGCATTCTTTAAATTTAAAATCTCTAAAGCTTTCCTTTTTCTTCTTTCTCATTTTAAGAGACAGAGAAAGGATGAAATGGAGAAATGTTTACAGAGCAGTTTTTATTTCTGTCTTGGTCTCATTAAACTGACATTATTTAAGTCATTGCATTCATTTAGAAATAGCTTCCAGACCAGCTTCTCTTTGGGTACAGGGCTCCTGGGACCCTCTGCCCCTCTCTGAGCCCAGTTTCCCTATCTCCTGGTCCTGACGACAGTCTTTGCTCTATGTATATTCCTTTCTGGTCATTTCTACAGTGCATGGTTTCTTGCTACTAGAACACTTCCAGCCGTGCTTTAAAACAACCTCCAGAGTGACAGCGGTGGATGCCCAAGTGCCTGCCCTGCCTGGGCCAGCCCCTTCTGCATAACCTCATTTGCTACTTACATTAGCCTACTGAGTAGGTATGATTTTCTTGGGTTGTTAGGGGATGAAACTATAATCAGAGAGTGTTGACAGCTTGCTCAAGGTCCCATAGCCAGAGTTTGTACACAAATTTGACTCCAAAACACACATTTTCCTCTTTATCCCAACTCACGGTGACTCATTCAATTTTGTGGGCTTTCTTTTTATTTTTCTAAGCTGGGGGAGGTAAGGAGACCCTGGAAAAAGGGTGGGGGATTTTTATAAGAAAAAATTATTTTTGCATTTTGTGATCATGAATATATCTTACTTACTCTGTTGAGAAGGTGTGTTAGCTAAATATATTTTGAAAATTAAAAGAAACACACACTCATACATACACACATAAAATCTTATGCTTTTCCATGCTTCTGTAATTCATACTGATTGATGGAAAGATCACTGTGATCTGACCTTTACATTCACTCATTCCACAGCCCGGTCTGCTCTGAATCCCTCTACATAGTCATGGAGTAAACACAGAGACAACATTATTAGTAAAACAAAATATATGGTATTTATTAAACATATGTGATATAGGTAATAATATCAAAGTACAGCATGCCTGAACAGATTACTCATTCTTCCAACAAAAACACCAGTTGATACTGAAAACATTAAATGATTAAATTTCTGCAACATAAAAAATTCTCTTTAAGTTAAAGTGAAAAAAAAAATCACAGGTTGAATAAATATGGTGATTTCAGCTGATCCTACAAAGGCATAAGGCACAAATTAAAATAAGAGATTAGCAATCAGAATGAAGCTTGTATGGCCCACACAAGTCTCTAATGGTGGCTCCTACAACCCTGCACAGAACCTCAACACCAAGAGGAGAGAGCATTGTACATTGGGAATCCTTTCCTCGAGGTTCAAGTTTTTCCAGGTGCCCATGCTTCTTGTGAAAAGGCTTCTTTGTGCCAGAGAAACACTGTCTCTAATACTTTTATGGGTAAACAAAACTTTCATGCTATAATAACCCACCCTGGCATGAGTAACATGAAATTTCAAACTAATGCCCTTTCCCTTCCCAACCAAACTCTAGCAAAACACAAAATAAATTGTGAAAATCTGTTAGGATTTCAGTGTCTACATGAGAAACAAATGACGATACAGTACAGCAGGGTAACATTGGTTGGGTGTCTGAAATATGACCTTATAGACCTCTTCCTTCTGTGTCCCCTCTGCCTTCACTTTCCTTCCTCTCTTGGAAGTAGATCAGAGGCTCAGCAATTTTCCACTCCTGTTTACACTGTGTGTGTGAGGAAGCAACAGTCACCCTTTCCTGACTTGAAGCCACAAGGTTTCAGGGGCTTTGCCACCTGTAGAAAGTGCATGTACCCACATGCCTACGTCAGTGTTTTCTTCATGGTCAACTCCAGGACTCTTGTGTACGGGGTGTAGTTTCTAGAAGGTATCACAATCTCGCGAGTCCGGCCTGTTTGGCTGCAAATGAGAAAAGGCAGGTCAGGAAGAAGAAACAAAAAACTCTACATTCTTCACATGGCGAGACGACTCTCTAAAATGGCTTTTCAGCATTTAAAAAACAAAAAGACTGCAGTTTAATATTTTACTCAAACATTACAAAAGAGACCTGCAATGAACTGAATGCTTTGGTCCTTCCAAACTCATGCTGAAATCCAAACCTTTAAGGTGATAACTTTAGAAAGCAGGGCCTTCGCAGATGATTAGGTCCTAAGGGTGTGACACCCATGAGTGAGATTAGTGCCTCTATAAAACAGACCCATCATCTCATGTGCCACAAGAGGACATGAGGAAAAGGTGTCATCCATAAGCCAGAAAGTGGGTTTTCACCAGAAACCAAATTTTAGTCTTGGACTTCCAGGTTTCTAGAAGAGTGAGAAACAAGTTTCTGTTTTTCAAGCTTCTCAGTTGATGGCATTTAATAATAGTAATCCAAATATATTAAGACAAGACCATAATTTTTGAAAATTTTAAAGGTGTACCAGGCATCAGTGAGTCCGAAAAATATAAAACATACAATCAAGGAGTGCATACCTTGGCAGGAAAAACATGCAAATAAGTAACTTTAATATAATGTGTTAGGTACTATAAGAGAGACATAAAGAGCTGTGTTGGATATTCTCTGTTTGCCCATACATATCTACTTTCCATCCCTCTTCACTTGCTGTATGCTCTAGGAAGCTGACTTGAAGGTCAGCATCAATGGACTTCTTCCCCGTTTTGTTCTAATCAGCTTGGAGATGGCAGCAAAGAATCATAGAATGGGTGGACAGAGAGTCAGGACATTTGTTTCTTCCAGCTAGGCTGCAGCTGGGTAGCTTAGTACATTCCTCTTTCAAAGGCCAATGCTACATTTCTGCCCTTGCTCTCTTTTACCAGCATTCTCCCCTGCCTCTTCAGGCCTATGGTGGTGCTATGGTTTGGATATGGATTGGTGTATCCACCAAAGGTTCATGTGCTAGAAGCTTGGTCCTCAGTGTGGCATAGAAAGGTAGTGGCACCTTTAAGAGATGGGGCCTAGGTAAAAAAGGCTCTACCCCATGCTGGATTTATGGTCTGGTGAGAGTGGACTGGGGCTAGTAGGGGTGGATTAGTTTCTCAGAGCAGGTTGTTATCAAAAGAACAAATATTGGCCGTCCTCAAACTCTTGCTTCCTGTGTCACCACCTGACTTCTTTTTCTTTTTCCACATGTGCACCCAACATTGTGATATCATCTACCATGAAATGCAACCAGAGCGACATAAAACAGACTAAGACAAGTGGTTACGGCTTCCACTATTGCCAGCTCTGGAGCACAACACTATTTCTTGTTTATTTCCCATACAGTTGCCCAAACATTTCTAAATAGCCCCTTTGAACTCCTTCAATTTTCCCTTCCTCTCAGGACCTTGAGCAATGAAGATGAACACATGATGAGTTAATTGAGGGCAGAATAATTTAGCATCACCAAGAAATTCACATCCAGGAATTTACACAGGGAAGGTGAATCTTGAGGGATGCCTGGCATCATCAAGTAGGCAAAGAGGAGATGGGAACTTCAGGCCGAAGGGATCGTATGTGCCAGGGCAAAGGAGGGTGAGCAACAGAGTCATGTTTGGTATGAGTAGAGCAAGGAGTTCATAATAAAAAGAGGCAGAAAAAGAGACAAGTGGAGGAGGATCCTGAGTGCCTTGCTAAGGAATTCAGGAGGGGATAGGAAACCATGATGTATTTTTATTCTAGCAAGATTTCTCTGGAATTGCTGAAAGTTTTCTATGGAAAAGCTGACCTGAAGGTAGAAGGTTAGCAAATTATTGGTGGTTAGGAAGTTAAAAAGAGATGAGAATTCCAATAGGAGTATCAGAGGTGAAATAGCAAGTTCAGGGAGATATTTAGGAGGCAGAATTAACAGGAGAATGAGACTAAAATGGAGACATAACCCAGTTTTTTATCCTTCTGGATATATAACTCAATTAAATTTCCTAGCTTCTCTTACAGTTAGGTGAGCCATGTGACTAAGTGGGCAGAAATGATTCACATTACTTCAGGCTTAGCTCTTACTGCCTTTCTACATATTCCTCCATGCTCCCTTTCCTTTCCCTTTTATGCAGACAATGCAATGGAGGGTCCAGGAGGACTCTAAAAGCCCAGGGGATCACTAGATGAAAGAATCTTGGGTTCCATTATACACAAATCAGCAAAGTAGCAGGATATAAAATTAACACTCATAAATCAATCATGTTCCTATACATCAGTGATAAATCAACTGAAAGAGAAATTAGGAATATTATCCCATTCACAATAGCCTCAAAGAAAATAAAATACTTGGGAATCAATCTAACAAAAGAGGTGTGAGACTTCTACAATGAAAACTACAGAACACTAAAGAAAGAAATTGAAGAAGACCTTAGAAGATAAAAAGATCTCCCATGCTCTTGGATAGGCAGAATCAATATTGTAAAAATGGTCATACTATACAAAGTCAATGCAATTCCTATTAAGGTTCTGATGACATTCTTCATAGAAATAGAAAAAGCAGTCATGAAGTTCATTTGGGAAAGTAAGAGGTGCAGAATAGCCAAAGCAATCTTCACCAAGAAAAGTGAAGCAGGAGACATCACAATACCAGACCTTAAATTATACTACAAAGCTACAGTAATAAAAATGTCAAGGTATTGGCACCAAAACAGACATGAAGATGAATGGTACAGAATATAAGGCACAGAGACAAACCCACATAAATACAGTTATCTCATATTAGACAAAGGCACCAAAAACATTCATCAGAGAAAATAAATAAGCCAATTACAAAAAAATGAAACTTAGCCAATTCTAAAAAACCAAAGGCCTGATGTTGTCTCTGATATGCAGATGCTCACTCAAAATAGGCATTTGCTGGGCTGGGGCTGTAGTTCAGTAGTAGACTACTTGCCTAGCACGCATGAGACACTGAGTTTGATCCTCAGCACTACATAAAAATAAAAATTAAAAAAAACAAATAAAATAAAGGCATTCTGTCCATCTACAACTACAAAAAAATTTTTTTTAAATAGGCATTTGCTTGTAAATGGATAGAACTGGAGACTATCATGCTAAGTGAAATAAGCCAATCCCCCCAAACCAAAAGCCAATGTCCTCTCTGATACATGGATGCTGATTCACAATAGTTGGGGTGGGAGAGTCAAGGTTCACCAGATTGAATAGAGAGGAATGGGGGAACAAAAGGGGAGGTAGGAATGGGAAAGACATTAGAATGAATCAGACATAATTTTTCTATGTTCATCTATGAATATATGACCAGTTTAACTCCACATCATGTACAACCACAAAAATGGGAAACTATACTTCATGTAAATATGATATGTCAGAATACATTCTACTGCCATGTATAACTAAAAAGAAATTTAAAAATTTAAAAAAAAATGTTGGGTTCCTGAATGACTCTGTGGACATTCAGAAATGTGGATAATACAACCTGTCTTTGACTATGATATGAAAAATTAATATTTACAGTGCTGAGCCACTGAGATTTGTGGATTACTGCATAGCAAAGCTATATTGCTTGTGCTGACTAAAGCAACGATGAAAAGCATATGAAATATGAGAGTCAACCTTTCCCCTAACTTCCCACATCCAATCATTCACAAAGTGGTGCAGGGTGTATCAGAAGCTTGGTGGCCAGATCTTAAACTTCACATGTCCCGCTCCAGACATCCACCATGTCTTCCCATGTTTTCCATCCCCCATAGACACCTTGAAAATGACTCTTTCATGCAGGCTCAGCCATGCTACAGGAAGCATCTCATGTTGCACTCCTTGTATATATTTGTTTCCATTGCTAGGTATAATTTCTCTGAGGGGAAAAACCACATCTCAGTCATCTTCATGACTCCAGCAGCTCACACAGGCTGGATACAGCTGTCATTTTACATAGAGATGACAATGGACAATGGACCAAGGGAGTTTTGAGGAATGAGTGGTCCCAGTGTCACCTTCCATGAAGAGAAATCCATGGGACCTGGCACTTCAGGAGTCCCTGGAGACCTGACCAGGCAGTGTAGGCAAATGGCAGGGGCAGAAACCAGATGGCAATTTGTGCCAACTCCTGTGAAAATTCCTCAAAACAGAAATGGTCTCTGGTGACAATATTCTAAAAGCCCATAAAATGCAGAAATATTTATAAAG